GATAATCTTGGTTAGCATTTGAACCAGCATATATATATATATATATATATATATATATATATATGGTTTGGCTCTTTTGTTAACCCAAAAGATGTTAACTATGTGAACTAATCTTAACCGTTAATCATTTGAAATCTATAGATTAAATTAATCAAGACATATTTGTAATAAATGAAAAACTAATTTATTAATAAAATTAGTAGCATTCTTATGAACACCTATAAACACAATCTTATGAACATCTTACGATTATGAACATATTCTTATGAACACCTATAAACATCATTTATTAATAAATTTCAGATTAATATGGTGAACAAATTGAGTGTGTTTTGGGAACATTTCACATATGAGTCTGCAATATGTTCACTTTGATTAACCATTGTTCACGTTAAAAGTAGCATAATTATTCTAGAATCTTGATATATAATGATATGATTATGATCTCTAATAACATGCAAATAATAATTTGTAACATTTCATTAAATAGCCTAAAAATAACTTACAGATAAAAAATATAAGATCTCATTAAATACCATAAAAGTAACTTATGCATAAAAATTATCTATTTGTCGTTCATCATAAAATCAAACATTTGCAGTGATCTCTACTAAAGATGAATCTCAATAAGTTCACAAAGTTAACTCCATATTTTTTGTTAACAAATATCCTACCCCTCTCTCTATATACATGTGTGTATGTACAAGTCAAATGTAAATATGCTTGATAAATTCCTAATGAGTCTTGTGATAAAGTTCTATTCATCTGTTTTTCATATTTAGTATTAACGGAATCAAAATCTCTCTCCCTTCCTCATTTTAACACTGATATACAAAAATATTGGCAAACCTTTACGCCTTTTTTTAACCAGGTAAGACACATAACACACTCCTATTAAGTTCATTTGTGTTATACTACTAATTAATTCATATTGAAAATATTTAAAATCTAAAGTAAATAATTATTTGTTCCCAACAAAAAAAATAAGAATATAGTCTCCTTTAAGCTGCCTCATATGCATCTTTCTTTTTCTTTTCACTTAAGTGTACATGTTTGGAATGTTGACCAGATTGGATGAGAAATGATTGAGCTCGATGGACAAGAATATGAGAAAATTGTACAAAGTTTAGAGTTTTAGTATGACATGAGTACTTTTATTTATTAATTACAAATACATTTTTGTCTTGTACTATTCTATTAACCAAACGCATCAAAAGAAACTTGAATGTAAAGATTAAGAATCATGATAAACGATTAAGAATTTTTGGCAGACTAATTACTTAGTCTATAGTTTTGAATCATGATAAAACAAATTAATATGGGGAAGGATTAAAGGAGAACATAATTAAAATAATAAAACATGAATTAAAATGGCCAAGTTACATGTGATTTTCTTACTGAAATCACATGCAATACCACGAGGCATGGTCAAAGCAAGGGTAAGACGGCAAATTAGTCCACAGCCTTAGATCGATGGTAGAGTCAGGTGAATCACATATGATTTTAATATAACATTACATGTAATTTAACCATATTCATATTCTTTTATTAAGTTACCGTTTGAATTTGAACCGGGGCCTAACAAATATTGGTTTCATCTTACTTTAAATTGGTCGAATTTTACGAAAGATAAATTAAAAGAGACGCAGGGAATGCGGGGAATGAGACACGTCAAGACTTGTGAAGGTGAAAAAAGGCCATAAAGAGACAAAAAGATAAAGAGTTTACTGGACATGCATACGTACATCTTGGAAACATCAACCACACTACCCTACTTTCGTATAGTTATTTATTAGTATATATGTATATATATATATATATATATATGTATATATATATATATGTATATATACACACTCTATATATCTAAGAAAATTGTTTCAAACGTTTTGATTTTGTATTATGTGTACGTAACGTATTATGTATATGTATTTTTTATGAACGACATGTATTTTACGATTAATTAAATGACAAAGTTTCAATTAGTAATTATAGATTTTTGGTCTTATAATTTTTTTTGAACCAACTTTATAAATTTGCTAACTAAATATCGACTTAATCGATAATAACAAACAAAAAAATCATGATGTGTAGCTCAGTTGGTAAAGGTGTATGAAGACTTTGTATAGATATATACTAGGTTATGAGTTCGATTCCAGACCCCCCGTTAGCCTCAATCGTTGAGTAAACCAAGAAATTTTCTTCTCGTATTGATGTCCTTGAAGGCAGGTTATGTGTGGAGTCAATTAGAGTTATTGGTAATCAGTTGGTAAAGGTGTATGAAGACTTTGTATAGATATATACTAGGTTGTGTTGTTTTAAGTAATAATTTTTAGACGTAAAAAGAGTTGAATAATACTACATAAAAAAGGCTAATTAACCGATTTACCTTATTTGTTAGATCTTGTTAATTACGTAGATGCCCACACCGAAGGGTCCAAAAAAGTTAGTTTCGACAGGGAAAGCGATTGAAACATAAAATGAGATAATTTATTAACGATATGATTAAAAAATAGTATATATTAATAAATAATATGATTTAAGAAGAAATAAATACTCATTTGCATCATGGAACAATATTTATATATATATGATTAAACAAGGTTAATAATTGATGTTATTAAAAATTGGTCCTACAGACTATTTAAGCTTTTGTCAACTACATGCCACCCTGATGTTTGTTTTTTAATGTTTTGAATAAATATACCCATTCATTAATTAAAAATATCCAAATAATTTCTTTTTCATTAGTTTCATAATGATAGATTTTCATCTTATTTTTTCTTATATAATATATAAAATTAGACTCATTATCAAATTATTGAATTTTTATCACCAAGAATGTCAACTTCAAATGTTTTTGGCTGAAAATGTGATGTTAATCATAAGATGCATGGGGTGATTAACATGCATATCAGAATAATTTAATCATAGAACACAACAAATAAAAGTCAATTCGGACCTACCTACGTAGGAGAGCCTAACGTGTGATTGTTGCGTTGAATGTGTGTTACTTCGGGATCTTTTACAATTATCCCCGTGTATTCATAACTCATATTTAATTTAAGACTTATTTGCTCATTTTATCTAGTTGTGTACTATAATTGTTCTTGTTTAGTTCTTTATTTTTCAGAAACCTTGGTTTAGCTAGGAGTAAAAAAATTGAAATTAATGATACCACTATCGATAGTATGGATTGTTGTAAAAATGAAATGATAGTTTTCAATTGTTAAGATATATTAGATTTGATTTAAATACTAACAAGATACAGAAAATGAAGGTCTAAGCTTAAATAGTGAAAAATGAAAATTGAGAACTTACCAACCTAACAATATTACAAACAACTTCAAATAATAATTACTGGATTTCTTTTTCCTTTCAAAACGATGATTCGCTTCATAAATTACTAAGAAACTGAGCAGAATCATAAACCTCTTGAAATAAACAATTTCAAGAAGATAGCACTGAAAAGGATGCATGTGTGTGTGTGTCTCTCTCTCTCTTTATATATATATATATATAACAGCATTATCTCGTTGCAAAACCAAGTAAAATAAAATCTCATTCAAAATATCCAAAATACAAAGAAATCATTGAAACACAAAGAAAATAATATATATATATATATATATATATAGTATATTTCAAATATAACTATGTTCATTTGTACAACCAATACAACTCAATTAATTGAGATATTTATGTAAATAATGATAGTTAATTTATTATAATTTGAATATCTATACAAGATGACTAGAGTTCATTAACTATAACCAATATTTTATATATTAGGAAACAATCAAAACTTTTATGAAATCACATATTCATCAAATTAAATGAACGGTTGAGATTGAGTTGTATTGGTTGTACAAATGTAAAAGTTGCATAATAACTCATATATATATATATATATA